TTTTGTTATTAAGAAATGATTAGTTATTGATGTTTTTTTAACAGTTATCAATGGCACGTAATGTATCATACATGCTTAATTTTTATCATACAAGTAAGTATGTGATAGAGAACAGTACCATCAACACTTTTTTGAATATGCCGGATGATGGTTTGTTTGTCGAAGAAAGGTTGTCATATGAGGGATTGATTAGTAAGATTTGTATGACCCTTGGTTGGGATCCAGCACACGTGAAACTCCACCTTTCTTTGATTTTCGATAGTCCCGGTGGTAGGCGTGTAGTGAAGATCAAGAATGATTCGCATGTAGAGTTCATGAACCGTGTAGATCCAATGTCATGTTTGGATTTATACATAGATTTGGAAGATATCACTCAAGAAGAAAGAGAAGCGAGTTTGGAAAACGTGTCATTTGGTGGTTTTCGAAGGGGGGAACGTGCTAGTACTTCTCGAAACCGTGATGAAGAGGAGACACCTTTATTTGCACAAAATGACTACCAGGAAGAGTCGGATTCCGACTACATAGCTCCAAGTGAAAGCGAAGAAGACTGTGATGTCTCTGGAGAGAGTGATTTTGAAGAAAGTGATGATGAAAGGTTGGAAAATGAGGAAAGGGATTGTAATCTATTCGCCCCGAAGCCATGTATATAGTAAGATGGGGAACTGGGATGCCTCATGTGTAGACAAGGATGAGTTTGCTCTTAAGATGTGGGATGAGACGCCCGAAGGAATGGACATTGGTGTTTGTTTCAAATCTCAATCAGAAGCAAAGCATGCTGTGAAATTATGAAACATCCATCATAAAAGAGAATATACAGTCGCTGTGAGTAGTCCAAGGACGTGGGCTGTGCGGTGCAGAACATTTAATGTGGAAAGTGAGGATGGTGAACCACCATGTGAGTGGAAGATGCGTGTGTCATTGAAAGCTCACGACCTTCATGAAATTGTGAGATGGCATGATGCACATAATTCCATGACTCCTGTAAATGATAATGACAATCGGTGTGTGGACGCGTCTTTGATTGCTAGACTCATCAGGAGAAAGGTTGAGGACAACGTAGATTATACGGTAGCCTCCGCACAGAAAGATGTAAAGACCTTATTGAAAGTAGATGTGCAATACAAAAGGGCGTGGCACGGGAGGAGGAAAGCCATAGAAGCGGTCTATGATGATTGGACCTCCAATTTCGATGAACTTCCACGGTAAATATCAACTTTTATCCGTGTATTGAAATATTTATAGTATTTTTATTTTTACATGTATTGAAATATTTTAACAATGACTTGTTGTTGTTTAGGTATATCGCTGCGCTTAAGTTTACTAATCCTGAGACTGTAGTAGAGTGGGAATGGAAGGAGGGACAAGAAGGTTGGAACAGGGGAAACCGGACATTTAAATACGTCTTCTGGTCATTTGCACCGGTGGCTGAGACGTTTTTTGAATGTCCACTGGTCATTTGTATCGATGGAACCTTTTTGCGTGGTGGATACAAGGGTAAATTGCTTGTTGTGGTGGTGTATACCGCAAACAAGCACATTTTACCGTTGCATTTGCGATTGTTGATGAGGAGACAGTAGAGAGTTGGACATTTTTATGAGGAATTTGAGGTTGTGGGTTGTGTATGATAGAATCGTAAGTGTGATATCCGACCGAATGCGGGGTTGTTGAGCGCAATGTCACAGATGGATGAATGGCGTGATTTAGGTGATGGTGGGCACTTTCTTTGCCTCCACCACGTTCGCAGCAATCTTGTGTCGCGATATAATAGTAAAAAGGTGAAGCGGTTATGTTGGAAGATGGGCACGACGCATTCAAGAGTGAAATACAACCGTATGAGGGCAGAGCTTATTGAATTCAAACCTGCTGCATGGGAGTATCTTCGAGGGATTGGAGGGAGTAACTGGGCTCGATTGAAAGCCGGTTTTCGCCGTTGGGGCATAGCGACAACCAACATTTCTGAGAGTTACAACAATGCGTTGAAAGGGATCCGTTTTTTACCAATTAGAGCCTTGATCGATGCAACCTTTCGCAAAACTGTTAAATTCTATAGAGAAGAACAATTGTCTGCGAGAAAATTGCATGACACGGATCCCTCCTGAGTTATGGAAAAAATACGAGAAAATAAATGATAAAGTAGCCAGTTTTGAAGCCACCCCTTTCGATGGTGATGATGCTATGTGGCGTGTTGTTACTGCCACACGCCTAAGTGGCAGGGGTGGGTCACTGCATACGGTGAACTACGATGAACATAGGTGTTCGTGCAGGAGAGGCGACGGTGACGCTACAGGACGTCGAGGTCCTGTTTGGTATTCGGGTGGATGGTGACCCGGTGTACGGGACGACAGTTAGCTGGACTGCAGATGAATGGAGGGATCGATGTGAGGCTTATTTGGGATTCCGGCGGCGGCTGTAAATGGCCAATGTGTCAATGTTGGTATTTTCGAAGATGAGATAGGCCGTGCACTACCTGAAAAATTCCACTGTCCATCGATTCGAGCAAAGGGCCAGGACACTTATACTGCATTTTATTAGCGTTTCATGTTTCGAACAAGACGCAGAACACTTGTCAATCTGAGTTCTTGGCCCAGGTTGAGGATTTGGATCGGTGTAGTCGATACTGATTGGGGATCGCACTTGTTGGTGGGTTGTTGTACTGGACTATGCGAGGCATCACAGTATACCATGCACGACGCCACTGGGTGTCTATATTTGCTACAGGTACGTATTAGTTTTCATTTTGTGTTTTAATTATTTTGCGCTTTCGACGTTATAATTTGAAATTTTTACATTATTATTGCAATTTACTAGGTATGGGCGTATGAGCGGATCGAGAGGATCGCGCCCCAAAGAAAAGGAGTAGATTATTTGCTTGATGAGACCGCTCCATTAGCTCAGCGGTACATATTTTCTGTTCAAAATAACTCAACGTTTAATTCTATTTGTTTCTTATTCATTTATTTCACTAATTCAAATGTACCCCTTTGTTTATTAAGGAGCAGCACTCCACCTTTTAGAGATCAATTAACAAGTCTGTATGTTGAAGATGTAAGTACTTGTAATTTGGTATTTATATTTACTTTGAGATCAATTACCCCTTTCTTTTGGTTTCGGTTGTACCATCTAATGAAATTTTTTTCGTGCAGTTTCGGTGGCAACCATATGCACATGTTCTCCATAGACTCCCTGATTTCTGTACACAAGGCCAAGCCATTTGGACGACTAGGTGTTGGATGTTCTGTTGGGCTATTAGGGAACCTCACGAGTCGGGCAGAGTCGTAAGACAATTTGGATACATACAGGATGTTCCCAAGCGCCCCATGATTAAAGATAACGCAGCATTCCTTCTCGATCACGCCCACAGTATGTCTGGGTATCCTAGCAATAATTGGGAGGATCACCATTCCGCAGTATGCCGTCATTGGAATAGGAGAGAAGAGTTCGTGCTACGAGATTTGGAGGAATGAGATCCTGGTTCCGTATATGAGGGGTACTATGAATGGTTCATGGTGAACACTGTCAAATTGATATCCAATCCCGGTAATTATGAACCTCAAGGATACGAGACTTCTTCGAGCCGCGTGAAATTATATGTGAGTTAATTCTAGATTTCTTTTATTATTTCTTATGTATTCATTTTTTATTTTTTTAGAACTTTACTCTCTTAATTAACGTCCCAATTTCTTTTCAGGGTGAAGTATTGAACAACATTCGCGTGAGTACCGAGAGGTTTAGAGAAAAACGAGAAGATGATAATCTCTAGACGAAGAACTTGACAAGCATTTGGACGATATCATCAATCAAACACATGCCGCTTTAACCTTGGGCGCAAATGATGAGATGGAGGTGGATGATACCCAAATCTGGTTGATGAAGATCCATTTTGCCCTCACAACCTCCGCCGGGTAAAAAGCGAAACCGTGGTCAAGAGATAAGATTGGAGGAGGAAGAAGAGAAAGGTCACAATCCCCTCGGACATCGTAACAACAAGCGATGGTCAACAAAATGAGGATCAAGCACATTCCTCTCGAGGCTCGCGCATCCAGTCGAGACTCATTTTGAAGAAGCTAGTGGACCCGAGACTCGGTTTGACCTTGGTGGACCCGAGACTCGGTTTGGTGGACGATCGCAACCACAACCGGAGTCAAATTTATCACCATCGGGAGTCCCAATCTCAACCCCAAATCGAGGCTCGGTTTGGTGGACGATCGCAACCACAACAAAGTTCAATACTCACGTATCTTAAGAGGGAGACAGGATCCGACGGGCCCAAACAAATACACTCCGGATGCGCACAATAAAGGAAAAGGAAAAAATGAGACATTTCATTATTTTGGACATTTATAGTAGTTTTTGTATTGAACTTTTTATGAAACTTGATTTATTTTGTTGTTAATCGAATGCCGTTTATTGTTTTGTTGTTATTAAATTCCTGTTTTCCAATGTTTCATTGTTGTTGGTCTTGTAAACATGTTTAGGATGGTGAAAATCAGTCAATTTTTTTCGATTCGACAAAGACTGGATTGCGAAATCCGAACCCAGACTTTTTGTAAAGGATTCGGATTTCGTAAATCCGAGTCCGTAGCCAACTGAGAGTCACCATTTTTCAGAAAGCAGAGCAGATTCGGATTTCGGTAATCCGAGTTCTGTCCAAATTTAATTTTTCAACACATTATTTTTTCTCTATCTGGAAATTAATATTTTATTCATAAAAACAGATTTATAAAATCCGGATTTAGATTAATTACACTAATTTTTGTCATTAACTTAATATCAGATTTACGTAACACAAAGTCGGATTTTAATAATCCGAGTTGATTAGGGGTCGGATTTCCAAAATCCAAGTTTTGCCCCCATTCGGATTTCCTAAATCCGAGGCATATAAATTTATCCACAAGATTTTAAAAAGCTTTATTTTTGTCCAGGTTTTTTTTTTCATATATATTTAAGGAAAAAATTCCATATTATAAGTCATTACTCTCTCCTTTTCCAAAAAAAGGGAAGTTCTGGTTCTTTCAAAGAATAAGACTCAAAAAGAAGGCATAACAGGCAGCTTAGATCAACGCCTGGGGTGGCAGTTTCTTGTACAGAAGCCATGGTGGAATTGGTTCCATCCATGTATTATACTTTACCCTGTAGGCCCCCAACCCACATGTCACTAGGGAGACGCGCCCGCCGGTACACGGGTCAAAGATGGACGCAAAGTAGATGCAACGCCTTGCGACAGAGCAGGCAATACCATTTGTGCCTACAAAAGGTAAGCTTCTATCCAGCACAACAGTAGCGTATGGAGACCCAGAACCCAACACCAAGGTTTCAAAATGTTCTACAGGGATGCCTGACCACACAGAGAAAATACGCAGCCGACCCTAAAAAACACCAAACCAAAAACCTCAATACTCAGGTTAACAAAAAAGCTAATTAAACCAAAATTAAAAAGCTAATTAAACCAAAATTTAGTTAGTAGTGCTTACATAGTACTGTCCTCCCACTGCACAGGTAACAGTGGTATTGGGATGATCTGCGAGGTAAGTTAAAACCTGCAATACAGTAGTAGCCCCAGCGACAATCAGGTTGTTAATAAGTTGTTGGCCATGAATTGTGTCCCCAGTATACCCGAATAAACAATGTGCGCCCAAGCACACAATTTTTTCTAGGTTGTCTGTGTCAATAAAAGGAACACCAGCAATTATTCTGGTGGTTCGAGAGTCGGCAGCGAAAACCAATCTGACTCGCTGTGTTTCATCAATGTATTTAAACATCACCACACAGGTTCGAGAGTACCTAAATCAATTACACAAACAATCAGAATATATACTTTTTATTATATTCAAGACTATAAAAATCCACCAGGAAAATGGAAGAGAAAGTAAACTTACACGCGAGATCCAAAGATCTGACGCTGCACCCGTAGGGTCATGACCACTTGCTCTCGGTCTTGGCCTTCATCAGATCCACTTGAGGAACTACATACCATAAAAAGAACAGTAAGCACAAAACCCAGTAAATATCCTAGCACAAAAAGGCAGAAACACATAAACACCATTAACGAAAAATGAACCCACAAAAAAAAAAAAAAACAAGATCGACAAAAACATAAAACGGTTGCAAAAATGGGCACGGAACCCAGATATTTAGTAAGCATTTTGTACCCTCCATTCTGAAGATTAGACTAAAACCCAAGAAGCTTCAGATAAATATTAGAAAAACTAGATCCAGGTACCTGGATGCATTCAAATGTTTATCAGGAACGGAATAGGTACGTTCTGGTCAGCATTCCTCTTCGGACTCACAACAAAGCTTCCAACGGCCGGTGAGAAGCGGACAACGCCGCCAGTGGCCATCAGTTCCTTGAGGGAAACAGAGGAAGGAGTCTTGGCCACGGTCATGACCACTTGCTCTCAGTCTTGGCCTTCATCATCCGCTTCTCGCCGGCCGTTGGAAGCTTTGTTGTGAGTCCGAAGAGGATAGCTGACCAGGACGTACCTATTCCGGTGCCAGCTAAACATTTGAATGCATCCAGGTACCTGGATATAGTTTTTCTAATATTTATCTGAAGCTTTTTGGGTTTTAGTCCAATCTTCAGAATGGAGGGTACAAAATGCTTACTAAATATCTGGGTTCCGTGCCCATTTTTGCAACCGTTTTATGTTTTTGTCGATCTTGTTTTTTTTTTTTTGTGGGTTCATTTTTCGTCAATGGTGTTTATGTGTTTCTGCCTTTTTGTGCCAGGATATTTACCGGGTTTTGTGCTTACTGTTCTTTTTATGGTATGTAGTTCCTCAAGTGGATCCAACGCCGCCAGTGGCCATCAGTTCCTGGAGGGAAACAGAGGAAGGAGTCTTCATTTCCTTCACACCACTTAGGTCCTTCACATCCTTACCCTTCTCCTCGATGACTTCCCTCACATCCTTATCCATTTTCAAAACTTCATCAGCCATCGTAATAAAAAGAGAACGCTCAGAAAAACAGAGAAGAACTACGAAGAACCCAAAAAAAATACAGAGGAAAATGGAGGGGAATTGAACAGGTGGTACTGATGGATAAAAGGTGTGGAGAGTGAAAGAGAGACTGGCTGTTTTATATAGGAAAGCGAAAGGCGGAAATGTGAGGACAAAATAATAAATTAAAAAAGTAGATATTATCTCTTGGTTACAACAATATTACACTATTGCCATCCATCCTATAGAGTATAGGCTAACGACCCAAGATCTGGGGTGATTTTGTTGCCGCCTCAGTTTTGTCTTATTATATGGTGCGAATTCAATCGAATTTGAACCTAATTTGAAATCCGACAAATGACAGTATTTTTTATTTCTTTTTTATTTTATTTTTAGAAGTGTGGGAATTAACACAAGCAATTTGGACTATGGCCTATTATATTTACACGTGGTTGGTGGTCACTTTCAGGTTTGTTTTCCTTTTTCTTTCAATTCAGCGCTTTTGATGGTCAACAGCGCTACTACGATTTGTCCACTGGTTTCTTCAATGTTTTGCTCTCCAAGTAACCTTTCGTTCAATTTTTTTCCTCAACTTTTTAACCCATCTTTTTTATTCTTACAGTGGCTGCTCACCAAAGTGCAGACCTTTTTTTTTTTTTTTTACTGGGGGCATAATTACCATTTGCCTACGTGTAACATCTGAAATAATAATGCAAAATCATCATGGATTTAGATGTCCAGTTAAAAGCTTCCTGAGTCCAGACCTATAAATAAACTATGCATCATGTGTAATTTCAACACAATTTAATTATTAATAATTTCCTATAACTAGTAAATGATGTCAATATTTTTCAATTTATCTTGTTTTATTTCAAAAGTAAAACAAGTATTTACCATACCAATTCATTCTTATTGCTAGTATAGTCTAGTCTCTTTTCAATCAAACACTGCGAACCATTGCCTACAAGTACCACTCACAATATTTTTTATTTTTTTGTAAAACTTCTCTTGAGTGATGGAGCGGAATATCTTCGAAATCGAGAGCAACAAAATTATATAGAGGCAGCAAATTGGAGTGACGTTTTTGCGAAGAAAGCGTATTTACTGCCTTTGATCTTTTGCTCTTAGCGCGGTTCATGTATGCAGTGGACTGTGGCTATTGTTTTACGAATTGGAATTAATTACTCCATCCGTCCCATAATTATTGTTCAGTTTGAGTTTTCGTTTCTAGTTCAAATTGTACTAAAAGTGAAATTTCAAACTGGACAATAATTTTTGAACGGAGAGAGTACTAAATTATGGAATGTCTTGAAAGTTTAGCATTCATTATTTTCGGACGGAAATAGGGATAGTTAATATGCCTATTTACAACTTCCCAATGATTACACTGTAATTCCCATTGCATAAAAATAAAATTTTAGTTTATAGTAGTACTAGTATCAAATTATATTTAAAAGCAATAAATAGCGGCCGCGAGTTTTTACACAAAATCAAATCTACATAAAGTGGCAGCAAAGATTCCTGATTTGGTCAAGAATTATTTGACGGACAAGTAAGAACTGCACAAATGTGTAAACTCTGGAAATTTTAGGTAGCAAGAAAGGAAGAACATCTAGTATATTCTGTATATTTTCAGTCATCTATGCAAGTAAGAGTCAGCACCTATTTATAACTTGTCTAGCTCTGCTAAACAGCTAAATTTACAAATTCATATTTACAGAGAGACTAAACAAACACAAACAGATCTAATGGTTAGCTTTACATCATGTACATTTTCTGGAAATAAGTTGATTGTTTGGATCATTTGTCACGCGGATTGATGACCTGAAATTAGTTGATGTTCATTTCCAGTAACATTCCTGCAAACATTGGTTGCAATGATCAACACTGAACTATGGTTTGGGGATGGCGCTTTTGCTTGCCTCAGAAGAGACATCCAAAAGGAGAGAAGCTTAAAGCTGCAATATGTTGCGCCTGGTGTTACGTGAAATTCTTTTCCTCAATACTCCCTCTGCCCCAAAATTATTGTACTGAAAGTGTAATCTCAAACTGAACAATAATTTTGGGACAGAGAGAGTATTATTTTGTAACACTGAGTAATTACGGGCCAAAGAAACCTAGGATTACTCTATTTGTCTCAAAAATTAATTTACTTTGCATAATGGATATTGTAAATTACATTGTACTAAAAATCAACATAATTTAAAATTTACAATGAGGATTGTTTTTATGGAAGGATAGGAGTTGTATTTTTACTTTAGTACACTCACATGTTAATGCCTTCCTTTATCTGAAATTTGTTTTTGGGTAGCCAGAGATGTTACACTCAAAAGAGCAGAGCAGCGAAAACTTTCTTGCCACGACGTTATAGGAGACGAAAACTTAGCAATGCAGGATGGAAAAGGCAACTAAAATTGGTGGGTTTTGGGCCTTTTGGCCTGGGGAGGGGAAGGGACCACTAACAAAAAAGAATACTACTACTTGTGTGATATATCCTAAAAGTTTTATGTTAGGGCACGTGAGAGCTCAGCTTGCCTTGTCAAATGTAAACAAATGAAGTAAAAAAAGAAAATCAAGACCATTTGTCACTATTCTCTCTCTTTCCATATCTCTTATTTGTAGCTGTCATCCTCACAAATCACATCTCACAGGTTTCCTCGTTTCGCCCTTTTCCCTGCTTTTTTATTATCTTTTCATATCTTACCCATTCTCCTCACTATCACATTTGCTAATTACTATTCCCTACTCTCGTCTGAAGTATATACATATATAGTGTAAAAGCAATATCATTTGCTCTCTGTCTCTATCCAAAGACGACACCATTAATTAATTTTTTGTTACATACCTAGATTAATATATTCCATTCCACATATTTTAATATTCTCTCCTACTATATATTTTAATAGTCATATTGAATCCTAACCTTGATAGTTTGTGGTAAGGCGCAGACATTGATGATTGCTTTGTTCCTCTATTTCGGCACGTGCATATTATAATAATTATTGGGTGATGCAATTACATCAAACTAAAGTGATGGCATTTCGTAACCGTAATAACGAATAATTTTTTTAGTGTGTAATTTAGGTAAAAATATAAAAAGATGTATTAGAAATGTAAAAACTATATTTGGATAAGATAATATGTAATTCTGCAATAACAAACCAAACATAGCGGAAATCTTTCCAAAGCTGAATTAGTTAGTGATAATCAATGGGCTAACGAAGATAAACAACGTCAACATAAACAATAAAAGACTTTGTAAATTTCATTAATATAAGATAGCAACTACTTTTCGGTTTTAGAATGAGATAAGACGTGTCACAAAAGCCTTTTGTTACCATATTCCTCCATCCATCTTGCTGCGTAATTTTTGGATTACAGTAATGTGATTCTCTGTGAAATCCATTCGTGTATTTAATTTAATTTGTTCCACTTCAAACATGTTGGATTATGGGAAAAAGTCCACATTTTGAAAATATTTTCAGCTTTCCCTTTTTTTTTTTTTCCAAAAATTACTGATATTCCCATTAGCTGGGTTAAGCTTAACATAGATGATAATCATAGATTATTTTGATGCGACATTTACAAATCTAACTAGTGATGTTAATATTATATTGTAATCTTTGTAGGTAGTTGCAAAATTTTTTAATTTCGTGAAATTAAACATCCATATCGTTTAATTTTTAGGTAGTTATATTGTAATATTGCATATGATAATGACAAGTTGACAACTCCCTCCCAAAATTCCACCTTCATACTTTATTGTCTTATTTTCATAACCACAGACATTTATCATACACCACATTTTTTCATATAAAACAAGAAAAATCCCTCCGGTACTTATTATAAGGCGTTTTAATTTCGTCATAAGTTTTACTTAGGATGTCCTTTTAATTGAAAAAAAAATCTTAAAAATATTTTAAAATAATTAAGAGAACACAATGAATATGAAAATATATTTTTAAGATTTTTTTTTCAATTAAAAAAATATCCTAAATTAAATCTCAGACGAAATTAAAATACCTCATAATAAGAGGCATAGGAAATGTTAATAATACTGTCCAACACTACATATATATACATGACTTATGTATCTTACACCTTTTCCCTAGCTAGGCAAAAAG